ATAAATATTTAACTTTTATCAAAATTTATTAAAATTTTGATTTTAATCTCCATCAAACATGTGTAAAATCATAATAAATTTGAATTTCGATAACATGCTAATTTTAAAAATTCTCCGACGATCATACGTTAATCGAATATACGAATTGCTTATATCATCTCAAAACTTATTTCGAGAACTACATTATGGGCTATCGAATAATCCAAACAGATATCAAAAATAGTTAAAAATATGTTAAATGTGAATCTTAAAAAAAGACGTCAAAGCCGCATTTTTTTTTAAAAAATTCAATTATATCATTAACATTTATTATTTTTGTAATACAAATTTCTCAATATAATTTTCATCATTTTATTAAGAAATTTTATATAGAATATGACATTAAAAATTTTCGAAATTTTACATCCGAAAAAATCATATCCCATGTAAATTTTCAGATGTAAAATTATATGGGGTATGATTTTTTTGGACGTAAATTTTCGACTGTAAAATTTCTCTCAACTTCTTTGCAAGTTTGATTGTACCTCCCTAACTTTTTAGGTTTACGTCCGCTCCTAGTGTCATACATCACATATTACAACTCATAGCCATGATGCACAAGTATCTTTCTCAACAATAATGTAAAACTCAAATTTTTTATTTTTTTTTGCTTTAACTTTTAAATGTGATTTCGACTTTATCATGGGTCTGCTTCAAATAATTAAGAGCGTATGAAATTGAATTGAATTGAATTGAATTGAATATTCTTTTTAAATACATTACTACAGGCACTTTGTCATCAAATATGAAAGAGTAAAGAAAATCATATTTCACTATGAAGTATATTATTCAACCAAAATTGATTTTGGAATCTTTAAATATGTTCAATGTTATTAGTGAGTTGTTAGAGTTAAATGACCTTATCTTTCTCAATAATATTGTTTATAGTAGGTGACTCCAATAGTTATCCTACTTGACTTAATTTTAATATTTTAGAAAAGGAATAACTTTTAATAATGCTACGTCACCCACGTGTGATGAATATTGTAGTCGCTGATTATGAATAACACTACTCTATATTTCTCCTACAATTGATGATTTTAATCAATTTCGTATTATGATTTTGACTTCTTAAAGTCATTTGTATTATCCTCCTACTGGGAGAAAGAAATAAGTCATGTCACAATCTATCAATCACTTCAGTGTTTTTTCTTTCCATCGAAACACTCCACTTTTGTTGTGAGTATAGTTTTTTTTTATTGAATTTAAACCTATTAATAATAAAAGAAAAATGAGCTGATATTTTTGTTGCAAACATAATTATTGTAACGACTCATCATCGAGGCTCGACGTGAAAATATGAGTCAAGGTTGAGGAAATCAACAAAGACCTCAATTGCTCAAAGTAAAGAAGTCGAAACTCTCTGTACCGAATCTCTTCACACGAATCACATCGAAGCCTCCAATCCAAAATTCTCTTTGGCTGAAGTCCTCTCTGAGGATCTGCCGACAATCTTTATGAATGATTGATGTAACGTTTGTTATAATGAATGTTAGGATTGTCGCTTAAGGTGTAGTGTGACTGACCATCTTGTCAATGTATTAAATTCGTAACAGACTAAGTGATTTGAGGTTTTGATCTAGAAAATGAGGCCACGTGGTTTTTATCCAATGCCTACCACTTCGACCAAAACTCTATAAATAGCAACTCTCGTAACATTTGAATTTAATGCAACTCTTTATACTTAAAACCTCACATGATCTCCTCTCTTGCTTACTTCATACTTGTTTGCTTGAGTTTAGATTATTTTGGTTGAGTTGTTTGTAATTGTTCATTAATATGCAATCATCTTTGATTATATTGTCGGCACTTGAAAACTTTCGTCTCACGTTATAGAGGATCTCCCACGTCCATAAAACATCAACTTTTTCTATCCATATCTCTGGTCGAAACGTGTTGATATTTGCTTGCATTAACTAAAATGGGCCCGACATCCGTTGTTCATGTCAACCTTACAAAAAACGAGGTCAACAATTACCGTTTGAAGATTTTAAGTTCTTCAAAAACTTATCAATGAAGGTTAAAATTTTAATTCTCTCAATAGAAATACGAATTCCTATTGTAGTTGCTCAAAACATACAACGACATATGCTTTATGCCATATTATAATTGGGAAAACTTGGTGAGAATGAACAATAATAGGACGAAAGTGCAAAACAAATCGAAGGCCAAAAAATGCCTTGGAGGAGACCAACATGGCCTCAAACGTTCGCAGCCTACGGTTGCATATCATCTATAATATATTAAATATCATATCAAATGAAAATCATTTTTTTGGACATTTTAACTCTATTGCAATTCAATTATTTCAATAATTCTTTACCTTTTTTCGTTTTTTCAATTTGTAATAAATACTATAAAATCATTGTCATATAAATTTTTTTTGCTATTAATCAACATTTACTTTAATCTAAATTCAATGAATTTTGACTTGATGAATCTTGATATACATAATTCTAGAATTATTATAGATAAGTTTATGTCTTAATGTATTTAGGAATTTTAATGGGTGTTTAAATTCATGTATTAGCAATTAATTCTTATGTAACAAATTCAGTATAAAAATATTGCTCATTTGTAATATTTCATCATAAAAAAGAAAAAAAATTAGTCACGAAAGTTGAATTTTGAAAATACAATTTTCTTTTCTAAAGTTTCCATCCTAAATTTTTTTTTTAAATTCATTTGAGATATTATTTTTACGACTTCAAATATATGAATATGGATTCATCACT